TTGCTGAGAGGCCATAATGAGACAAGCAAATGAGAAGGCAGTCTCATGGCAAAAGAAGAGGCTTGAACTTGGCACCAACTTCTTCATCTTCTTCAAATAAATTGTAGGTCATAATACCTACATCTGACATTGTCTTTAATATTGATTAAAAATAAAAGAGCTAGTGAACATAAAAATATTTAAATATAAAAAAATTTACCTATCACCTTATTGAAGTAAAGTGAAAAAGGTCAACTCAAGTATGTATGCCTATTGCTTTTGTTGATGGAGACTAGAGTGTTCGGTCTTTCCCTTCTTCTTCCACCTGATCTGTAAGAAAATTAGCAGGCTGAGTGATAAATAATGTACAAGGATCATAAACTCAAATGCCTAAAGGGGAGTTGCCAGAAAACATTAAAGTAGCTCATCTTTAAAAAACTATGTTTATAAACAGCCCAGTTGTGACAATAAATGCCAACTGAATTTGGCTTTGGTTTCAGGGATTAATAGGTAACTGTGGTAAATTGGTACACAGTCTTATTAAAGAGGCATTATATATCGAAAGGAGCTAGCTGCAAAGTTTTTAGGTGATATTTCTTAATTTCAAAATACTGATTCAAAAAACATTTTTGATACTGTGTAAGCCAAACAAAAAAATGTCTGTGAAACAGATGTAGCCAACACTTTGCAACCTCTGTATTAAAGAAATAAGAATAAATTCTACGAGGGAACAGAACCTAGATTTTGCATATTCTAGTAAGTAGCACAGTGTTTTACACACAGTAAGTTCACAATAAATATTTTTTGAACAGCTAATGAAACACAAGATCTCAGGAGACTAGAGAAAACACAAAACAACAAATGAGCAGCCAATGGACAAAGAAAATGCCCAAAAGCCAGGGGTTTGCTGCTGCAGTGACTTGGGCATTTTGTAGTCTGTTACTCAAAAACAAATTACAGACAAGCAATATTTAACATGCAGTAAGTAGGGTATTATTTCCCATGAGCTCTTCTCAAAAGATTTATATGCGGATGAATTTCAGCTAACCAAAAGATACCTGAAAAAACTTACGCAAAAACAGTTTGAATTCAAATGGTAAAAACAAATGCCATTCATATCAGTAACAAAACTATAAAATACCAGACATAAAGTTTTTTAAAAAAAGCAGCATTGAGCATAAAACTGTGTGTATCTTCCCTAGTTATTTATGATTTAATAAAGGGTAAAACACACAGTCCAGTTGAGTCTTATGTTAATGAATAATAAACTATACTTTATGTGCAGTCATCTGTACACTGTATTTAATTAACATAAGTATCTGGAGAGTAAGAATAGGAACCCTCACTAAGAGAATTCCACAATATAAAACCTAACAAAATTAACTCACATTTTCCCTCTAAAACCCGGGGCTTCTAAGAGTGGCTCTCATCACCCTAAATCCGTTTCATCAACTATTATAATGTTGATAACACACTAATATTATGTACTTCAAATTATACACGTACCACATACAGTATGTTTTAGTGTGATCTGGGGATATTTAAAAATCTTTCTAGAAAGCACTTTAGAACATTTTGGAAGAAAAAAAATCTTAAACATACAACAAATGGGAACATTAACTTTTTTTTATTGAAGAAATAAATGACTTGCCTCTTAGGATTAAGCCTCGGGTTAATCTTTTACACTTCTGTATGATTTATTGATGGGCTGATCCACGCATATATTTATTTCATACTCTGGGTTGTAATCCAATACCATGCCATATTAATTGTGTTGCTCACATTGTTCACTGGGATCTCTTTCAGGTTGTTCTGTGTGTCCCTGGACCTAATCTCATCTTTTTGGTTTTGAGCAACTCCTGGCTTTCAGACAATACAGATCGCCAGCCTAGAACTAACCCTTTCTTCAAGGAGCCCTGGTTCTCTCTACCAGAGAATGGTATTTCAAAACCAAGAACTGGTGTCAAAGATTTTTTCAGTAAAAAAGCATTACACGGGAAGTGCTAGGAAGTGAGGTGAATGCTAAGGAGTACAGTTTAAAGGGGTTAAGATAAAAGTAACTATCATCTAGGACAGCTGTTCTCAATGTGTGGGCCGCAACCCTTTGGGGGTCAAACGACCCTTTCACAGGGGTCGCCTAAATACATCCTGCATATCAGATATTTACATTATGATTATAACAGTAGCAAAATTACAATTATGAAGTAGCAACGAAAATAATTTTGTGGTTGGGGGTCACAACAACATGAGAACTGTATTAAAGGGTCACAGCATTAGGAAGGTTGAGAACCACTGATCTAGGAGGTGCTGAAGGATCAAGAACACTGGAGATACCTAAATCAGTTTAGCAGAAAATGAAAGAAATGAAGTAAATCATAAATACTATAAATATTTAGATGGCAAAGGAATAAGACTATCTAGAATATTTTTCTTTTTTACTTTTAATCTTACATTACCTTAATACACTGTTAAGATGTTAAGAGTTAAATACAATTCTCCAAAGGCAGAGCCTACCCTGAAACCAAGCCCTAAGTGAGTGTCTGGGGAGATACTTCTCAAGGCCACTCTAGACAAATCCAGGAAGTGTTCTGAATTATCAGGGCCAAAGTGACTTACGGGGGAAGGGGGAGGAGAGAAAAGGCATTTTTAAAAAAAACGTTGTACAAGCAATAAGTGGTCATTGAAAAAATATTCACAAGTCATTTCTTTTAACAGTTCTAACATCTTTCTTGAAGTGAACAAAATACTCAATGACCCTCTGTAAAATCCTTAACTCCTCTCCTTGAGAAAAATCCTTCAAAAAAATCACATTTCATAATTTTTACATCTGAAAGGTCGATCCCTGGCATGTTATGGAGAACAGCTAGGTGCTCTCCTACGCTCTCTACCACAAAGTGAGTCACTCCACCACCAATCCTCCAGTCCTGGTGACTCCTCCCTCCCCAAGTCCAGCAATCACTAAACCGAATTCTTCCTATGCTTCTGTGATAACTTCCTCCTCCCAGCACATCATAACCATTTCCCACATAAAGTATCATATTATTCTCCAAACTGGTCTGTAAATAAGCTTTTTATATTTATTTTTATTGTTGACAGTATTACAGATGTCCCCCATTTCCCCCCTTCTTCTGGCACCTGCCCCAACCAAGGCCTTCAAGGCATTACAGTTTGTGTCCATGGGCTATGCATATCTATATATATAAAAGGCTAATATGCCAGTTTCAGCCCAATCTCCACAGGCCAGGCCAAGGGACCCCAACGGTGAACCTGCGGGGATTGGGCCGAAACTAACTCTCTGACATCCCCCGAGGGGTCCCGGATTGCAAGAGGGCACAGGCCAGGCTGAAGGACCCCACTGGTACACGAATCTGTGCACGGGGCCTCTAGTATACATATAAATTATTTGGTTAATCTCTTCCCAATTCCCCTCCTCTCCCCTTCCCTCTGAAATCTGTGAGATTGTTCCATGCAGCCATGTCTCTGGACTTTTTTGTTCATTAGATTCCACATGTAAGTGAGATCATGTGATATTTGTCTTTCTCTGACTGGCTTATTTCTTTTAGCATAATAATCTCCAGGTCCATCCATGCTGCCACAAAGGGTAAGAGACCCTTCTTTTTCACAGCTGCACAGCATTCCATTGTGTAAATACACCACAGTTCTTTTATGCACTCATCTGCTGATGGGCACCTGAGATGTTTCCAGATCTTAGCTATGTAAGTAATGCTGCTAAGAACATTTTAAATGTAAACTGGTGTTTTGAATACCTATGTTAACAGAAAGGCGTAAAAATGATTTGAGTGCCATAGGTATGTATAACTCTGGCAACTGGATAAGACTAACCACAGTAAAATTTCTTATTATGACCATTTCTGATCCATTATCTTTATAAAGTAAACACATACTTAGTTTTTACTTATTTCTTATTTATCCTTTTATGATTTTAATGATTTGGAAATATATTTATAGTTTTAAAGTTCTTGGGGTGCTAATTCTAATCACATCTGCTGACTCACACCTCATATATTTTTTATTTTTAATCGCAAGTTCACTTTCAATAGAAGGTAACTATTTTTGTCAGTTTACGTTTTAAATTGAATATACTAGCATTAGTTAGTAAAATGATATAGGTTTAAAGTGTACAATTCTATAATACATCATCTGTATACTGTATTGTGTGTTCACTACCCCAAGTCATGTCTCTTTCATCACCATATATCCCCCCCTTTACCCTTTCCTGCCTTCCCCCACCCTCATTTCCCTCTGGTAATGACCATACTATTGTCTGTCTATGAGGTCTTTGTGTGGGTTTTTTTTTCCTTAATCCCTCACGTTTTTCACCCAGCCCCTCTACCCCTGCCCCCCTCTGACAACTAGGAGTCTGTTTCTACTTTGTTAATTTTGTTCTTTGGATTCCACATGTAAGTGAAATCATATGGTACTTGTCTTTCTCTGAGTGGCTTATTTCACTTAGCACAATACTCTCCAGATCCATCCATACTATCACAAAAGGTAAGATCACCTCACACCTGTCAGAATGGCTATCATCAATAAATCCACAAATAACAAATGTTGGCAAGAATGTGGAGAAAAGGGCACCCTCGTGCACTGCAGGTGGGAATGCAGATTGGTACACCCACTGTGGAAAGCAGTATGGAGTTACCTCAAAAAATTTAAAATGGAACTGCCTTCTGCCTCATAGATTCCATTTCTGGGAATTTGATGGAGAAAGCCCAAAACACTAATTCAAAAGAATATACACATCTATGTTCACTGCAGCATTATTTACAATAGGCCATATTTGGAAGCAGCCCAAGTACCCATCAGTAGATGAGTGGATAAAGAAGCTGTGGTAGCCCTATCCGGTTTGGCTCAGTGGATAGAACATTGGCCTGGTGACTGAAGGATCCCAGGATCAATTCTGGTCCAGGGCACATGCTCAGGTTGCGGGCTCGATCCCCAGTAGGGAGTGTGCAGGAAGCAGCCAATCAATGATTCCCTCTCATCATTGATGATTCTATCTCTCTCCCTTCCTCTCTGAAATCAATTAAAATATATTAAAAGAAGAAGCAGCAGCTGTGGTACATTGACAGAGGTAACTATTTTTCTATAGAAATCCCATGTAGGTTTTAGAATAGTTTTGCCAACCTCTTCTGGACACTGTCTACTTTGCAATTTCCATAATATGGAATAAGAGATGTGACACTTTCTACTGAATTAATTTTCTTACTTCATGGCTTGACAGCCAATTTATAGTACAAAAAAAAAAATCACTTCACTTCAATGACGCCCTATAATCTATGAAGTCATTTGAAACTACAACCAGGAATCACACTTAAAACTCAACCACAGAAATCACCAATGCAAATAAATGCACACAGGCACCAAATCAAATAACAGAAATCTGGCACTCTCTCTCCGGGGAACACATCCCTGCCTTTCCCTTTCCCTTACCTCCCCCCAATCCCCACCCCTCTAGGCCTGTAATTATTAGCTTCATCACTCCCAAGCTCCACTGGCCCTTCCTTTACCTCTGTAACTTGTTTCCTAAGCACATTTCTTCTAGAAATTACTTCTTCTACCTCTATAATTTATCAAATAAATGTTCTCTTACAAAAAAAATAAAATACATAAATCTTCCACAGAAGGGCAAGTTCACAGAAACTTAGGCAATAATCACCTCCTTAAAATTCTGCTTGGACGTTGCTGGCATTTTTTTTTTAACCTCACTCATAAGAGACATGCCCATTCAGAAAACATCCTGAACTCAGAAACATTAAAATGTGTGTGTATGGGGGGTAAAGGATGTGTATCTTAAAACCAAGAAAATGTAGTATGTAAGGCAGAAAGCAAGTTTATAACTTAAAATGGGAACCACAACTGGCTGAAAAGCCAGACAGTATCTACAGAGGGAGAAAGCATGTTCCTGCCTGCACCAGCGCACACGGAAAGCCAGGCCACCTGAAGGCTCAGGAGCACACTGGAATAGAGCGCCCGCTGCAATCTACCTCCACATTCCAGTGAGCGTGACAGCACTTTCTCACAGGTGGGATCCTTATAACTCACTTTCATTACAGAACAAGTTCCCTTCCAAATGACTCAATACGTATTTCTTCAAATATGTCAATTTAACATCTTCTTTCTGATGACTTGAAATGGCTCTGCTTTGATTCACTACATGAGTTTATAATGAATTCTCAGAAGACAAACTTATTTCAAGCTACCCCTCCTCCAGGTACAAGTGCACACACACACAAATAATACCAATTAAAAATAAAAGTTTTCTTAAATACAAATCTTACTGCCCTCAATCACAGAATTCTAAAATAAAAACTGAACTTTATAATAGACACAAAACATGCTAAGATCCAGTGAAGTTTAAAAACCAACAAAACCAAGACTAAGAATTTGCTGACAATATTTATCTCATGTTTTTGGTTTGTCCTTAAACATTTTAGAAGAAGGGGGAAAAGGAAATGAAGAGGGAGTATGCTCATAAAATTTGTATCATGTTCACAGACGACACAATGAATTACTAGGTGCATAAACGGAAGTACATGAAAGAGGGAAAGGTATATGAGATAGGCAGTCCCTGATTTAAGGGCAGCCTATACATACGGACACTCATTGTGGCATTTTGAAATTTTTCCCATCCTGCCAAAATGCCACCAGCAGTAGATAACCACTCACAACACTCTGAATCACTCCCTCTGTGATCACATTAGACCTCCTATCTGAACCTCTGCTGAGCCAGCTGCCTACACCCTGAGGAGCTTCCGCCTATTCGGTCAATTCTGTTCTTTAGTTACTGGACTTGGTATTTTGATATATTCACAGATTTTTTTAAGTTGTTGTGGGCTAGTCTAACATTTAGACTATCATCTCTGTGAGTATGAATTTGAAACTCCATATTACCAACTTATATTCAAATTTCTATGATTCATACTCTTCTGGAATTTGACTATAAATATATCCAGCATGAAAAACAAGTCCAGTTCTCCTTGCTAACTGTGAATGTTTGTATAGTTAAGTCAATATACATATAACAAATAAAATTCAAAAATTCAGATCTAGCTACTTTAGATAAGGCTGCAAAAGGTATAAATTAACAAGCACTATGCTGAATAAAATTCTCTTTTGAGTTGTTAAAAAAGAGACAACAGGCCAAGATGGAGTCACTTGTGTTAAGTCCCAAGTCAGCAAATCAAGGCTTAATACCTCACGTACAGTGGGGCCTTGACTTACGAGTTTAATTCATTCTGTGACGGAGCTCGTAACTCAAATTACTCATATGTCAATGCAACAGTGAACGAGTAAGACACGTGATGCTGGGCTGATGTTGTGGCGTTCACTGTGATGTTCGCTGCACCAACTAGTGGTGGGGTATCTGAAGCTGGCTCATAACCCGAATTTTAGCTCGCAACTCAAAGCAAAAAATTGGCCAAGGGACGGCTCATATCTCGAAAAACTCATTAGTCGGGACACTCGTAAATCAAGGCCCCACTGTAATTGCAATTTCAGCCTCTCCCAGGAATGTAACCTATAACCAGTCAATCTGAAATTAGCTGATCAACACTAATGAGGTAATCTGTCAGACAGACCCATCTTCCCCTAAAGCAGTGGTTCTCCACCTTGCTAATGCTGCAACCCTTTAATACAGTTCCTCATGTTGTGGTGGCCCCCAACCATAAAATTATTTTCGTTGCTACTTCATAACTGTAATTTTGCTACTGTTATGAATCATAATGTAAATATCTGATATGCTATCTGTGTGTTCCGATGGTCGTGACCCACAGGTTGAGAACCGCTGCAAAGAAAGATGACCTTGCCTGAAACTATTGGCTCTTTCCTAACAACTTCCTTATCTGGCCCCACCTTTGCCTATAAAAGCCCTTCTTACGTACAGCCCCAGTATCCGCTAGATGGGATGCTGCCTGATTCTTGAATCACTGAATAAAGTCAATTAGATCTTCAAATGTATTCAGCTGAATTTTGTTTAACAACACAATTTAGATGCATATTTCTCTAAGGAATCAACTTCTATGAATTCAAATATAAAGCTGTGAGGAGTCCAGGTGACTAAAAGGGGTCTATTTCAAAGATTCTGACTAACCTAAATCTTTTGTTTACAGTATCCCCAAGACTACCTATTGGTTAAGATACCAAATAAGTGATATAGAAAACTTCAATGACTTTAGCCAAATATTGACACACACAAGACTGTTTTCTAAATATATTATACAAAAAGTAAATGTACAGAATACTAAGACTGTGTACAACTATTTCACATGGTCAAAAGAAATATATTTGTGCTTTTAAAGTTCAAGGCCAGAGAGTATTAAGATTTAAGGATATTTACTTTAAAGAGACCGATAATAAACATAATAATAGAGTAACAATAAGATAATGGAGTAAAGATAAGAAAAAGCCCAATCACTTTTACCTCAAATTTGAGGTAAAATGGAAATGCTTTTTATTTCTTAAGTAACTGAAATGCAACTAGATTATGCAAAGTAGCCAATTCAATTTCATAATATAAAAAGGTATGGATATAATCAACAGGTACATTTATTAAACCCTACTTTTTACTTACTCACGGAAAACGAATGGGAAAAAGTGCTCTACTGTCACCACTATAACAGTGTGGCTGAAACACTATCTTATCAGAGACTCCTAAACCAATTTGAAAAAAAAAAAAGCTACTCAAAGTAACATGACCATTTCAGTGTTAAATTCTACCTCTCCCAACATTTTTTTTTAATGAGTAGAAATCCCAGATTGTTAAATGCTCCTATGCTGATCAACCTTTGGATGGATCCCAGATTGTAGGATCCATCTCTGTTTTAGTCAGTTTCATCTCAAGTTCCTAACACCATACCTTGAGAGTATTCATAAAACATTTGTTGAATTAAGTCAACCTATCAATTGGATTAACTGTTTACTGGTACTCTTCCGACTTATTCTATTTCAAACCAAATTGTACATCTGAAAAATCTAAAATTTCTCATACACTTTTGAAGTTTGTCCTTCTATTCATGAAATTTTGGGAAAAGCTCTCACTTTTCCTTTATTTTATCCCATTTATTTAAAATCAGGAGTGAACTATTTGATTTTTTTTTTCAAGTCTATTTCAAAATGTACCAAAACCACATGGAAAATTTCTTCCAGGGTTTTGAATATCTAGAGACATTGTGGTCAGGAAATAATGGTACAACCCTTTAAAGCACCAGGCCTAATTAGAGCACCAGTGGGCCTCCAAGGCTCATGGTGGTGCTTCCTGTCCTTTTAAATGTTACCTGCAACATGAAGTTCATTAAATCTAAGTAATCCTCACTTAAAACATTAAAGCACAGGACTTACCATTATAGGTTATTCTTGGCTTTGTTAAACACATCACAAGATGTAAATCCATTTCATCTGAGGGTACAAATTTTGAGCATACAGGGCACTTAAATCCTAAAAAGTAAAAGAGAACCATGTTACTTAACTATTCTGAATATCCAACTATGAGTTTTTTACAAGCATGGAAGATAAAGAGCATTTCAAACTTCAATATTACACTTATAATATTATACTACTTATGTACAACTTGGGGTATTACAGTTTGTAACTGTAATATCCAACTTAAATCAGTTTATGAAGATCATCCCATTTCCAATAAAACAAGTTCAAGTGAGGAGAATTTGGTTCACTACAAAACTCCCCTATCTTTTTCTAATTTAAGGGCCTAATCGCTCTCATATCTCTCTCATTTTTTTTACATTAACCTGAACTTATGATTGTATTCTAACTGTGCTGTGGAAATTACCTTCCTCAGCTCGGTATAGAACAATTTGAGTCACGGATTTTTTAGCTAGACTTAGCAGTACCTTAGAAACTACTCTACTTTTAAAGATTTATCCGGTGAAGAAAGTGCAGCCTTTCAGAACAGCAAACTCAGGTCCAGAATCTAAGACTGCTGGCCTCTAGTATAGTGGCCTTTCTGCCACACCATGCTACTGAAGTCACAATGGGAACAGAAAATAGCAGCATACTTCTCAGGCAATCTGGACACCTAAATATTAGCTAGTTTCCTACACTATTCAATCTGCACTACTAAGTATTTGCCTGAAGTACTCTATTGAAAAAATAAACGGTATACAGAGAAAGAATGTGTTATGCATTCAGCTCTATCCTGCCCCTCCTCACCAAGGGGACCTGTCCCATCCATGGTTCCTTGCTATTTCCCTGCTGCTCTCCTGCTCCCTCCCTGACATCCTTAAGGGGCTTGACACCTGATCCAAGAAAGCCACTTTACAGTTTAGCTAAGAACAACGATCAGAAGTGGAACAAAAAGATGGCCTGAGCCAATGATTTTTTTTTGAAATGTAAATAAAAAACAGCAAGAGAAGACACTGGTCAGCTGCAAAGGGCTGAAGCCAAAAGGTCACATTTAGGTAAGAGAGAGAATGGCGTGTCCATCCTGGCACATGTGTAAGCTGAACTCAGAACAGACACTATCAAAAAAGAGGAACTCGGCACACATGGCAATCTTGAGGCTGATGTGCAGAGGAGCGTAAGAGCTGTGGAGGCAACAGCTGGTAAGACGGGTGGTGACAGAGGCCACCTTCAGGCCGGCACTCTCCACTGTGGAACACACATTCTCACGGGCACCGGCTCCCTTCTTTGTGACTGAAACTCACTGCAACCACTGAGTCAGACTAGAGTAATACCCCAGGCAGAACTACAAATTAGAAAAAGGTTTTGGCATGGTACTTAATACAGGTATTCAACCTCTAAAAGAGATATATGGCTTTGTTAGAAGCAAAAATAGAATATTGGGGACTAGCTTTGGTTATGGGAAATATTCATCATGCTCTGTTAACCATGATTGCCTTGTTCTGGATAAAAGAAAGAACAATCTAACCTGGCTGGGAGTTGTATGCCCCTGGGAATCTGGGAGCCAACCTTAGACCTGGGAAGTCAACCCTGGAATGTGGCCCATTCCCATTCAAGAACTGCCTATTATCATGGAAAGATTAACAACCTTGTTGCCCAAACAATGGAGTCCCACCCCAACCTGCACTGCTTACTTCCCCATGCCTGTAATTCCTACTTTCCCATGAAATCTTCCTCTTACCCTCTAAGAGCAGCTGGCTTATGGGGGGCTGCAGAGCAGACTTCTGCGGATGACCTGCTGTTCTCCCATACTGCTGGCAGTACTGGAATAAATGCTCATATAGGAGTCAAGCCTGTCTCTGCTTAACAGGCAGCATGGACCCACTGACTGTCCAGTTTCATATTCGAACACTATTTTCCACACTGTATTAAAGCATTTTTTTAAACTAGAAATTCTGTTTTGTATATTGTTTTCTCTCCTTGGGCTTTAGTTTATCTCTACATTAAAATATGATTACTCATCCCAGATCAGCAAAAACTCAAAAGCTTGACAATGCATTGATGGTGAGGCTCCGGGACACAGGCACTTCATTCACTGCTTGTGGGAATGTAAAATTGCACAACTCCACAGAAAGTACTTTGCAATATCTAACTAGATTACGTCTGTATTTATTTTAGCAATCCCATTACTAGGATCTCACCCTGAAGGTATGTCCCCAACAATACAAATAACATATGCACAGACAGAGGATTCTGGGAAGACTCGGAGCAGGAAGAATCTGTCTCCCCACCTAGGCAACCGCTGCACTATGGCATCTACCTGACGTCACTATTTTGGAACTCTGGAGTCTACTGAAGGCTCCCAGCTCCCAGGGGAAGACTTGAACAGTATACTGTGGTTAATTTTAGCTCAGCTCAGTCGCAGCTGCCCTTCCTCCACCCCAGTCACATGACAGGCAGCGATACACTTGTTCCTGGTGCAGCTTGCACAGAGCTTGCGGGAGCCAAGGTGGGCAAAAGACCCTGTCCTCCAAAAACTGGGAACCTTTTCTCTGATAGCTGGTTGCTGCTTCTGACCCGGGATGCCGGGAGCCGGTCCATCTTTGCTGTTTCAAGGGACCTGGCATATATGGCATACTGTTCTTAATATATTTGCTCACCTTCTTGGCACTATGTGTTTTAACCAAGGTCACCTCTCCGAGAAAGGTTGTTTCCCCAGGTAGAGATTTTCCCCTGAAGTTAGGGAGGGAATAAAACCTCTTAACTAA